ATAGATCTTTTTTTTAAAACTATAAGCCATTTCAGTGCATGTCATCGCTTTCCATCACTTTTCCAACACATGCAACTCTTTTAAATTGGCCACACCTTTGGACATGCTTCATGAGAATTTCTGTTCATAGAATGAAAAATACTACAAACATTCAAAATATGTTAATAATTTTTTATGAAAAGTTGCACCTCATATATTAAGTTGATGGTCAGTAGAAATATTAGCAATACTAAAGAGAAAGAACAGAATGACAGGCGCCAGAGTGACAGGCCTGCTGCTGCTGAGATTGAAGATAGGGTAAAACAAGTTGCGATGCACCATTATTTTGTAGGCTTCGAAAATATTAACGATTTTTCCTTGTTTTAAATTTAGCCTTTCGGCTAGTTAAAGTTATAAGCGAAATAAGCTCCGAAAATGCCGAGATTTCCAGAAGTTTTGCTTTAGATAGTACGGTTATCTCGTAAACTGTCGTATCGTCCAGCTTCCTCGTCACAGACGCTAATTCCACGGGATGAGGAGAGGCTTTACAAGGTGACCTTGTGTTTCTTGCCAACTTCTCCGCCAACCAGAGACCAATTGTCTGAAAAGAAAGAAGACTTTTTGGGAAACGTGAACCGGCATATTCTCTCTCACCACCACAATATATATATATATATATATATATATATATATATATATATGTGTGTGTGTGTGTGTGTGTGTGTGTGTGTGTGTGTGTGTATGCATGTATGTATGTAAACATGTATGAATGTGTATGTGTGTATTAGACAAATTTATGTATGTATACGAAATGTTATTAATGTTTATCGATCACTCAATAATTGGCTCGATTTCCAATTTCTCTTACGTGACTTGTTCCTGTATGTTAAATCTTGTGGACAATTCGATCATCCGACAATAATTTGCAACAGACAGGATCGCATCAAGAGCTGTAGAAGAAACCTCAAAAATGCGACCAGAGGATGAACAGATTCCAGCGCAAGTCCAGAAAATACATCAATTATTAACATTTATCAAAATTCTTTCTCAGAATTAAGCCTCAATTAGCAACACTGTTTCTACCTCACCTACCTCCTGTTTATCTCTCTATGCTGACACTCTCTCAATTAAATTTTAAAAATGGCTCGATTTAAGCAATGTTTCACTAGATAAGCTTTGTTTAATTCAACGTGTTTTCATAGAAACAATCTGTTGTCACAGTGGATAAAGGTGTTGGTTAGATCCAGTGACAGGAGCCAAGGAGTGTGAGTTCAATACCCTGTTAAGGCAGGTGAGAACTTGGAGTTGGGAATTAACAGGAGATAACTGATAACTGGCGTCCATTATACATGGCACGTGGAACTAGAACAGTCTACCCCAGTGAACGAAATAAATGGTTCAGTTCGACATTCCAACCACCTGAAGAAGGCCGGAGCGTACAACAGCCGAAACGTTATAATAAATATAGCTACAAAGATGAGGACAATAGTCCGAATAATGTAAATGTAATATCGGCTTGTAAAACTAGCTTTCGTTTAAGTGGGAATGAATTATATTTTTTCTTTAAATAAAAAAATTAATAAAATTGTCTAATTTTAGACTGGAAAACGTTAGTTACAATTTTATATCCTGCAGCATTCGTAGTAGCCATAGTTGTCGTCTGACATTTCACATATTAGTACAAATTAGTTAAGCGAATTATCTAATAAGTCAATATTATCTGTTTAATGATTTTTTAAATGCATCGGATTTATAAGTTTGCTGTATTATTATTCATTTTTAGTTGTAGTAGTGTAAACGTGCGCACACCACAGTCGATCGTGCAAGACTTCCAATAAAGCGGCTGGTCGCTGAAGTGACCGCTTCAGTACAGAACAAACATTACACACGTTGTGATTTTTTAGATCATAAAGTAGCCAAGATCGAATCGTCGCAGGCATTTTCGTGCAGGCCTGGTCCAAGCAGGTCGATGACGCACAGGTAAAATATAACACTTGAATAAATTGAACAAAAGTAAATACTGATTTTATAACAGTCTCCATACAATAACTGATTCATATCCGATTTCGCATGTAATTACTTATCAGCCCAACTGGCATCTAAATCGGAAGTGATACCATCGTAGACTTGGAAAAAAATCTGGTTTGCTGTTTTGGTAAATTTCGGCACAAGTCGGAGCTTCTCTTCGGCAGGCAATCAAATAGCCTCTCTTCTGTCTTGTCTTCGGCCCGTGTCCCTCTCTCGTCTGTCCATTCGTATTTATGGACATTGCCATAAACTGGCATGGGTGTATGGCGAGCTAGGGATATTTCAATGAATCCACTCCGGTTTACGTCAAAACTTTGGGGAATTCCCTCTTCACCAAGTAGTGAGCGTGGGTGGCTGTCCACCCCCTCCTGTCTCGAATCAACTTCAAATATATTGTTTAGCGAAAATGAATTTTTTCGCTTTGCAGCTGTGCGTCAATCAAACATCGACCCTCAAATTTCGGTCACTTTTCCATTGTTCAAACTGCTCAACATAAAATTCAATCCGTTTATATGTGAATGTAATTTTCAGTTTTTCACAGGAGTTCTTTTGGTATTAACTCTTCTTGTTTTCATGTCTCTAAGCAAATAACACCTTCTTCCGTTTTACCACCGCAACGACAAAGAGTATCACAGTAGTTAAAAATCATGAAAATATAAACATGCAAAACTTATTCAAAACTTGTGTCTATGTATTTATATCAAGGATAAAAATTCAAGTGGATGATAAGCTCTTTAGAAAATAGTTTTTTTTCTTAAAAATGTTTGTATGGAAATTTAAAAGCTGGAAGTTAAAAATGTACTTTTCTCTCGTCGTACGACGTCTATTCGACTAGTTAAAATAAATTAAAAAAAAGTTCATTTCCCAGACTGTTTCCCTTGGAAAACTGAAACCGTAATTTGGTGAATCACAGCCGAAGTCGACCAGTGTACTGCGCAGACACAACCGCAATTTTTTGTTTCTTTACGAAAATGGTTTTACAATTAATCCGACTTCTCTTTTCAGTGAGACGTTTCTTTCATTTTGTCTCTTATTTTATTTTGCATCACGAACAACCACTCAATTTGACTCCGGGGTGACGTTTATATTCCGTTTTCTGACATCCAGTTGACAGTGAATAACGATGTTTGGAGACAGTGCGCTGATTCTATAATGAGCCGTGCGATGGCCAGCTGTGTCCCTATCAAATATATCGCCAGAAATCAATTCGAAAGTCTATAGAGAGCAATGGAAAGGAAATCCTAGATGGCAACACACCGCAGGATCTTACTTGACCTCAACCTGGTCAAAATCACCACTCGACACGAAGCAAGACCTACCACAGACACCTTTCGACCAATGAAGGTGTCATGTTGGTTTGTTATTACCTAGAAGCAATGAGGTTGTATTGCCAGAGGCAAAGGCGAGAAGAAAACTTTTGCAATGCGTGGGGAGAATTCTTCTTTTTTCTCTCTTTTGAATTTCTTTATATGCAGTTTGTTATTCAAAGCTTTTATAGATATTCAAACAAAAGTTTAAACAGATTGAGTTTGAATCCACATTAATACTTTTTGTTATTTTTTTTCTAAATGCCTTCAAAGATAAAATAGAATTTAATTTATTTAAAAATTCTACTTTGCCTATCAGCGGAAGCCAAAATAGCAAAGCTTCATCGTGCGGTAGTTTAAAGAGGTTTCTCCTCGGCGATGAATGATTTTCAACCCTACCACCTTTTTCCCCACAAACGAAACGTCGCAAATCTATCGCTATTTCCGTGGAAAATATTCTGACATTTACAGCATGACACGCCATGCCAAATACTCAGAGGCCAAAGTATGTCGGCCAACATCGCAAATTGCTTTAAAACCGAAACATCAACCTGAAAAGTCGTGCTTTGCTAGTCAAAAGCTTCATCAGATTGAGACTAGCACACCGATGCCATCCAAAAGATTCAGAAATATGTAAATTATCATGCTTATAAAATCTAATTCTAAGATCAATGGGTAAAGAAGGCTTTGAGCGAGTGAAACCTCTGGATCTTGGCAAGGGTCATCCTTTTTTAAACATTGTGGTCTGCTGAATGAAGAATTTTACCAAATAAGAGGAAACACATCCCTTTGATGACTACCAAGGATAGCATTAAATAAAATGTATAGCACAATGGTAACTCAAAGGGGAAATAATGACACAATCAATATATTGACTTTCCACATTACTTCAAATAAAAGGTTGGGAAGGAAACCCCCATCAATGGAAAGTACGAGAACAGGTAGGGTACTTGAGAGACCTATTTTCCTGAAAACATTGTTTTAAGAGAAATATTTTATAAACTTCAACTGGAAGCAGGTCTGGCTGCTCGGTCAAAGAATGCCAAATATTTCTTTGTATGGAAATGTCTAATACAACCATATATATATATATATATATATATATATATATATATATATATATATATATATATAACACAAACACGCACACATACACACACACTCATTTTAACGCTTTATATGCAAGATATAAGCATTACCGTCTACCAGAGTGCTCAGTTCATAGCGATGTGCTTTTAGTATTAATTAGCAGCCAAGAAATTCCCTTTCTTACAAAGGGCTCATCCTACGAATTAGCTCACGGTCAGGAAGAATCTTTATTTTTTTTTTTGCTGTATGCAGTGTTTTTCTATTGTTAATTATTTTATGATAATCATTTTCACTATAAAATTTATATAACTTGTCTTTCTGTTACTTTAAATTATACACAGTGGTTGTTCCGACTCCATAATCATCAAACAGACTCCAGACAGGGACATCTCAATCAAACTTCTGCAAATCTCTACATTTTGAGTTATTTATAACAAGAGATGATTACTTTTCTTTTTCTCACAGTTAGCCATGAGGGTATCTAGTTATTTTTCAAATTTTCACTGTATAATATCACCAAATTTACGAAGAGATAAAAAAAATAATCAACGAACAATACCTTCACGTTTACAGAATACGAGCGCTTGACAACAACTAATGTTTGGCGGGATCAGGTCGCTCAGCCAGGCTGAGGGAATGATGGGCGGTGTCAAGCCGATCTCGGCAAATGGTGATTCATCATACCTAAGTGGCGTGGATCAAGCAATCATTTTGCGCGCCGAAATCAACACAAAAAAATATTCGGTTTATATAGATATTTGGTTTTCAGATGTTCGTCTATGCAAATGTCATTTCATATATATATATATATATATATATATATATATATGCTTGATCTACTAACAAATCTCCATCCTGGGTGGGTATTGAGTAGCGTGGAATCACCTCTTAATTGCTGGTGTTCCCAGGTCCGCCCTGACCTGGGGTGGTAGCACCTGTTAGGGTCACAGCTATGGGCAAATAGTTAACCCCGAAACGGCGGTAAAAAGCATTATGAAAGTGTAAAAATAGGTTTTTATATCAGTAATACTTTGTAAAAAATTATTACCAAAAATAAATTTTTGAAGAAAAAATATGTTTTTGAAAAAAATATTAGCAGCTATGCAATTTTGAGGGAAAAAATATTACCAGAAATATATTTTTGACAAAACAAAAATATTACCAGGAAAAAAAAAAGGTTTTCGGCATTGAATGACCCATTGAGGTGCTGATATACCGTAAAACAAAACAAACCAAAGCAAAGTAAGAAATCCTTCAGAATTGCCTGCTATTATATTTGTAGTCTTTTTTATCACTCTTGGTGAGTGTATCATTTGCACTAATATTGTTTGAAATTCTGAAAATAGGAAAATATATATATATATATATATATATATATATATATATATATATATATATATATATATATATATATATTCGAGAAAAACTCGAGAAAAGAGCGACAGATTTTCTTTGTGCTGAAAAGAACACAAATGGGGATCTTTTATTTCTTGAGTTCTTCTTCCGATTTTGAAATCTTGGACAAGGTTAAGAAGTCTTTGAGTGTCACGTATATCGTCTCAGATTAGAAGGAAAACATAATGTTCTTCGTTAATTTATTCTCGGTTTTAGTTTTGCATAAATATTATGTTACACGAACTGCTTAAGCTGCTCTTCTTTTGTTGATAGATAGGTAAACCTTCCTTCTTTTAAGTCAGTTGAATTATCATCTTACTTTCGGAGAAATAAATAAATGCAAAAGAAAGAAAATTTAAAACGAGGTTTATGTGTCTATAAATTGTTTCGCCGAAAAAAGAAAAATGGATTTCTTAATATAAATTGAAAAGTATAAAGTGGAAAGGAAGCTATGTCGTGTGCAATGATTTATACGTCGTCTTCGAGCCGAATATTCACCATGTAAAAATTCAAAAACGAACATTTTTATTATTATTATTTATCTAGCATTTGGTAGACATTCAAAAATAAAATCAAACAAGAAGCGATAATTATTTTTTTATTTTATTTCTTAAAGTGCCTTTCATTATAAATACTTATCTTTTACCATTATGTTATTTGAGGCTTATTTCTGAAGTCTGAATACTTAATCTTCCTTCTTCAGTTGATTTTATTCCCATCCTTTTGCCAATTAAAGTTTTTTTTACGAATATCCTGGTAAAAATATGAAAAACCAAAATAACCGTGTTTACCTTGCCGTAATTCGCAAGATCTATACATTCGACTGTCATAAATTCTTATTTTTCGGTCCTAGACTCTCCTACATTTTGTAAATGATCCAAAAAACATAAGACATGTGTAATGGCAAAAGTACGCAGGTGTAGGCTTTAAGAAAGTTTTATTCAATTGAGAATACAAGGTTCGCGTATAGTTTTCTTTTTAGTCCCAGTAAACAGAAATAGTTCTCTCAAAGAGGAGAGTAACGACATAAGGGGAGACCACTCTTGATTATTCATAACAAATGGTACACATTATAATACAAAATGGTCATTACTATTCCAGCAACACTTTATTAGTGTTTATTTTGTTTTACAGCATATCAATATTAATAGGTTATTTAATGACGACAAGAATTTTATAATAGTTTTGTATGAATAGAATATGTATTATTTGTAAGAAATCAGTTTTTAGATCAGGTTTCATTGACGTATACTTGCAAAGAGGGTGTTTGTCGAGTGACAACTCGCCATTTTTTTTTCGAAGTTTTTGGCAATTTTACATATTTTTCATACAGTTTGTGGTGGGGTCCAATATTTGCACATAGTTGGCACTCCTCCTTCTTCTCTTCATTTTGTCTTTGTCTTCTTCCTCTTTTCTTGTTGCTTCCTTCTTCTTCTTCCCCCTCCTCCTCCTCTTTCTTCTTCTCCTCCTCCTCTTCCTTCTTCTTCTTCTTCTTCTTCTTCTTCTTCTTCTTCTTCTTCTTATTATTATTATTATTATTATTATTATTATTCAGTCCTATATCCCCGGCGCTCTTACCACTCGTTCACAGCAGAAAAACGCACACCCGACTCCGCGACGATCGTACAATCTCACACAATTCTGCCTTTCCCCCATTCGTTATCCCATTTTGATTATCTCCCCTTTCGACCGTCGGGAATTTCTATTTCGTATTTGAGAGAATATAAACTTCTTAAATATTCGCCTCATGAACAGACATTTCTTTATGTTTATTTATTTTTTTCCTTTCAGCTTCTAGTGATGATGTCTCTTGTTTCAATATTCCATTTATTTTCATTTTATTTATTCTAGATGCAGCCGTAAGTTCTATGTTAACAGTTTCTTCTATTCACACTTCTTGATTGTGAAACTCGTTTCCGGCTTCTTGCTTCCCAGTCAAGTATGATTTCAAAAATTTAAATGCAATGTCAATCGTTATCTCCTGTCTCCTTAATCCCTATTCTTTTATTGTCCTCTCTACTTTATAGTGTTTTTTATTTTATTTTTATATTCTCTAACATTCAGTAATCCGAGTAACATTCAGTGTCCCAGTGGCGTTATTCCCTTACTTGGGGTGAACTGATAAAAAAAATAACTTGAACATGCCTGTAGACAGATATCACTTCGTGGTCAAGAAGATATCCACAAGATAAGACTATATTCACTTGAAATTTCTTTCACTTAGCAATATTTAATTACTAAGCTTGTAAATGAATAAATATTATAAAATCTTAAAAGCATACTTCAACAGACCATAGTGATTGCCACGACACAATCACAAAGAGTTTGTCTAAATGACAAAAGCATATCAATTGAATAATTTAAACAATAGCAATATGTGATACTATTTGTCGTTACCGTGGTAAAACGGAAGAAAGCTTTGTTAAAACATGAGAAAATATTATGTGCTTAGAGACAGTGAAACGAGAAGGCTTAATACCAAAAACTTATGGAAGGAATTGAGGATTTAATTCCCACACAGACGGCACCTAAAATTGCGCATTGTTTTGAACAATGGAAAATATCCCAGACTCAGAAGGCAATGATGACTGACATGTGTTCTACGCAGATGAAAATGCAAGCTCTAAAGCGGACACTTCATTTTGGTAAACAACGAATTTGAAGTTGATTTTTCTAGGTCGAAAGTTGAATTGAAATGCAAGGAGGGGGATGAGCTACCTACGTTGAAGAGATTTAGTGAGAGGCAATAATAAGAGTGAGTGGGAGAAGGGAATTCCCCAGAATTATAAAGTAAGCTGGCAACAAAGGGGATTTATTGAAATTCTTTTATACGCCGTACACCGTGCCAGTTTGATCGAATGTTCATAAATACGAATACGAGAAGCGACTTCGACAGAAAAGAGAAGACTGGCAGAAGAGACGGGGAAAAAAAAAGAGACGAATTCTGATATAAACCAATTATTGTACGGAGGACTGATATTAAAAAAAAAAAAAAAACAGTATTTACTTTTGTTAAATTTATTCGACTGTTATTTTTTTTTCCTTTGAGTCTTCGCCCTGCCTGAACTAGTCTGAGATTGAAGATATCTGCGATGTTTCGGTCTTGGCTTCCTTATGATCAAACTGAATCACAACTAAATCTTATACGAACGGTGAAGGTGTGGCACGATTAGAAATAGTAACGGGTTTAACTGAAAAAAGAAAATAATGATATTGTCAAGCTGAAAACTTTCTACACTACCCGAAAAATTGTTTGTAAGTTAACACGCATCAGTATTATGAAGATTGAACTAATTTCCTGAAATAAATATATTATAGATTTCAACCGACAATAAGACTAACTGTTTCTCTCGGGTAATTAAAATAAGAAGCTCCTTAACTCGTGGTGATCGACGTGAATGACTTGAGAGCTATCGGCCTACATTTATTTTCGATAAACCTATAAAATACGGCACACAATGAAGAGCAAACTGAATTCAACATCGAACAATAATTGAGGCCAAATTTCAAACGCGAACCGTGCAAAGAGGCAGCGATTGTATATTTTGTTGCCTAACATTACGCTAGATGTAGCAATTGCCGATGTGTCACTCAGTTATGTGCCATATGTGATATACGCTTTCGAAACATTACCGACGAGGTAGATTTTTTTTCCTGCAGTAGTTTGCCATTTCTTTCTGCAGTAAACCAGTTGCTATCCAAGGCTATAAAACCCGGTCTATCCTGCTATTTACGCATAGCTGGTGTGTAGAGGGGGAGTAGATCCATACCTTTCCCAAGGGTATTAGCACGAAAGTGAATGTAATGGATTCGACTGGTTTTCGAACTCGGCTCTACCGATTCTTCAATCCGAGCCGCTATCCATTATTCCACCGGGCCTCCTCAAAATTATGAAACATTATTTTTCGAATCGTTGCAAAGTCACAAACCTTTCTTTTTCTGTCCTCATATTTATCATTTTTCATAATATTTTCTTGATTTATAAATATATAATGTTTTTCTTAAAGTGCGAGGTACCGGTTTATACGAGGGCAGGCCAAAAAAATAATAATAGGCTTACTTTTACTGTGACTTCTTTCATGCGTTACGTTCAACACTTTCCCAATAACTGCATTGTTTCTTTCCAGGTAAATTGATATCCGACTGCTCAAAGAAAACTTCAAAAGTAACCACCATTATTAAATATGGGAATTTATAAGCTTCAACCGCTAAAGCTCAAGGTGAGTAATCAATCTGACTCGAATTGAGCGATGAACAGTTACTATTTAGAATACACCAGGAATCGTCACCAAAGCAAACGCTAGCGTTGAGTTGCGGTCATTCTATATGGAAAAGAATGTGATATTCGACAAATAGACCATGTTGAGATTCGACCTTTGATCTCAAAGTCCGTACCATCACGCTACATACATAGCTAGCAAGCTAGACCTATAGAGAGAAAGAGATAGACAGACAGACACAAAGCAAGAGGTATAGTTCAATAAGCTCTGTATATGATTATTTAATTCAGATATTTAATAATGTTTTATTTTATTTTTTTTTAAATTCCACAGTATGTCAAAATTACCCTTTTTTTCATACACTTTTGTTTCGCTGTGAGCAATCATTTTTCTGAGTTCAAAATATTTTTTGCCACAAGATAAGGAATATGCAAAGGGTTATTCTTGGAGATGTTGGGGTTCTAACCAAAAATATATTACTTCTTATAGATTGCTTTCAATTGTTTCGCCGTTTTCTTTTAACCTGCCTTTTGTTTCCATTTCTGCCTCTGCCGCGAAGCTTCTGCAGGGTTGAATATAGCTAACATCATGAACTTAGTTCGTCTTCGATTGGGAGGGTTGCAAGCGAGAATCGAAAGCGAGGGTAAAGTTAAGTTTACTTAGTGTATTGCTCTTATACGGAGTGACAAAAGGATATAATATTGAAACATAAATAATAGAACGCTCTTCTTTCATAAATTTTCTTCTAACTCACTTGTTAGTCTTTCTGAAATAAAACTTATCAGAACATTGTAAAAATATGTAACAGATTTTCATTTTATTATTTTTTATTAGGTCCAGGTAGCTTAGACAGTCATGAGTCTATCATACGAACCATTACTACCCTGCATTAATACCAGAAGGTGTCATTACATAGTTGGTAAATATAAATGGTTTCTGGGCGACCAACCCGTCTTGTTCCATGTCTAGAGAGCAGTAGTTTTTAGTAACCCTCATTTCAATATTCAAATATTTTCTTGAATTTCATTGGTTGTTAAATAAAAATAAGCTTCGAGAAATTTCCATAACAAAACAGTCAAAATTTGTGCAAAAATAAGCTCAACTGGCATAAGAAAATCTTTCTCAAATTGAGCCCTAAGTTAAATGAAATCCTATTGGCTAAAAAAAGAAAAAAATATTCTCCCACGCATTTCTCAGAAAAAGTTTCAACAAGCTACCAAGCCGCTGGAGCCGATTTTGTTGTTAAAAAATTATAAATAGAAATAGCAAACGAATTCTCGTCGCATTTTGAGATTCACACACGCAAAGATAAACACGGGAATTATGTGTCAAAATTGCCGCCAAAGAAACAAACTTTCTTTATGAGAGATTGGAAAAATTCATACAACAAACTTTTCCACTTAATATCTTTTATAGAAAAATATTTTGTCTAAATTAAATTCAACCTTTTTAATCAAAGGCAGACAACTTTTTAGAACTGAACATTTCTGAAACAGCAAATAACTTTTTCTCTAAAATATACCTTTGCACACATCATTACAAACAAAGAAATTGTAAATTGTGTATATAAAATTTAATCTGTTGTTTCAAGCATGTATTTTTTGTCGTGATTGAATATCGTTACCATTTGGCCATTTCTTATAATTTATGTTTGTGGATATTGCATATTTTATTTACATCACAATCTTAAATATCCACGCATCCTTCTTAGATGCAGTACAAGTTCATTCGCAAGTTCTAGGTCTGCCCGCCAACAGTGTCCTGCACAGCGCATTCTGCGTTCAAGTAGAAATATGAGGAATGTGTCTATAGAGCTGGGATTTAGTTCGATATTGTCTCCAAGAGATATCAAGTATAGCTCTCACCATCCGAGTGTAGGTTCTATCAATCTTAGACTCATAGGTTTTAGTTATTTTCCAAGAAATGGCCTCATACATTAAACCCGCTTTTACAGTGACTTGAAAGAATTTCAGTTTGAAATTGTCTGGTTCCAGGTTTCATCCGTTTTATTCAGGGAGGTCCAGGCTTTACCTAAGCAATGTTGACATCCTTTTCAGTAGAATTTATGCCGCTTCCGACTTATGCAAAAGATTCGAAAGATTTTATAGAGATTCAGCTGTTTTTTTTTATTCAATCTGACTGAATCCTATGAGTTCAGTTTTAGAACCGTTGGCATAGTGTCCAACAACTTTAGCAGCATTTTCTGGCATTAATATTGTGTGGCATTAATAATGGCATATGCAGTGAGAGCTAAGTCTTCCACATAATCAATATCGGACATTTTTTTTATAAAACGATTTTAATTAATATAAAAAATGATCGCAACTTGACACTGTTGTTTGTTTTGGTGACGATTGCTGGTGTGTTTGAGATTGAAACCTTGCATCGTTCATTTGCGAGTCAGTCTTTGTTGAATGTTGAAGTTTTGAACACAAACAAACGCATTAAAGATGGAAAATGCAAAGTTGCACTTTCGCCATATTATGCTCTAGGAATTTCGGAAATTCTATCTCTGTTCATATCTATCTATCTATCTATCTATCTATCTATCTATCTCTGTTCATATCTATCTATCTATCTATCTATCTATCTATATATATATATTTATATATATATCTATCGATCATTCTCCAATCCTATCTATCTATCTATCTATCTATCTATCTATCTATCTATCTATCTATCTATCTATCTATGTTCATGACAATCGATCTATCTCTGTCTGCTCATGATGGATATTTCATAAGAGTCATAACTGCAGAAAGTTTATTTGGACTCTCTCTCTCTCTCTCTCTCTCTCTCTTCGGACGGTCAAAAAAGATTTCGCCAGGGTAATGTTAAATTAAACGATCAACAACGCCCCGGGAGATCTTTCAACATCGATGAAAACACCCTCCTTGCCATCGTGGAGAATAAAGCGACTGAAGGGATTGTTAACAATTTGAATAATCGATATTTTAACCGCCTTTCTTCTTTTGAAGTAAGAAACTTGAGTTCGAAAAAGACGTCGGATTTTGGCAAAGGGAAAAAGTAGTCATTTTCCACCATGAAAAACGCAAACCCACATTGTTCCAAACATAGCATAGAGAAGGTTAAAGGTGCTGAAATAGGAAGCCACCCAGCACCCACCCTATACTCCTTAATTGACTCCTTCGATTTCGGATTTTAATTTTTTCCAGTAGAATTAAAATGATAAAAAATAATTATGCTCAGTCAGTCGAAAATTAGCAAACACTATTCTTTCAACAAAAAATACGAAGTTTTCACGAAAATGGCATTAACAAGCTTATAGAATGATGGAAGACAGTTGTTAAAAACAATCTTAGATTATGTACTTAAAAAATAAATTCTTTTTTTAAGTATGTAAAATTGTGTTTTTGATTTTCTTTTCGGCACGAACATTTGCAGTGATCTAATAAAAGGTAAGGTCGTTTGTATGCTGAACATGATTTTGCAATGTCAAATTCTGTGTTGAAAATAAGCATCTGAAATGTTACAATAATAATCTATAGCAATGACGAGGAACAAAAAACAATGGAAGCAATGATTGATATGAATAATGATACAATTTAATGAAACATTATGTGTCACTCTTGCAGGAATTATTAAATCATTGCATGACAGTGCTTAAATTACGTGTCCGCACAGATAGATAGATAGAGCCTATTCATATCTATTTATCTCTGTTCATATCTATCTACCTATCATCTGATAAATATTAACAGGCATAGATATAGATAGATAGATAGATAGATAGATAGATAGATAGATAGATAGATAGATAGATATTAACAGGCATAGATAGATAGATAGATAGAAAGATAGATAGATAGATAGATAGGAATAGACAGAGATAGATCGATAGTCATGAACATAGATAGATAGAGAGATAGATAGATAGATAGATAGATACATAGATAGATAGATAGATAGATAGATAGATAGATAGATGTTATATTAGAAAATGTTACATTAGACAAATATAAACAGTACTATGTTACTAAATAGATAAATCTTGGAGAAGTGTGAAATATATACGAGATACGGAATAAATGAAATCGATAATTTCATTGAATAACTGAACACTTCTTTAGATAAACTTTTCGTAATGAATAAATTAAAAATGGACTTAATACATCGCTGAATACATTAGTGAAAAATATATAAAATAAATGCATTTATTGTGGTGTGTATATGCGTAATTTTCAGAAATTATGCAAGACAAGATTTGCTTATAATAAATACATATCTCGATTCCATCATTTTTGTCGACTTTACAACCGATTACATTTTAATGAAGCATGAAGCCTGACCTAAAATTATAAATTGCTTCTGTTTGCAGATTATCGCAACTGTGTAGATTTTCATTCAATATTTCTTTTAATTTAAGAAAATATGGCTTTTCTTTCTTTCTATTACGTTATATTTCCTTTCTTTCGTTTTTCGTTCTTTTTGTTCATTTTTCTTTTGTTCTCTTTTTCTTTTTTTCCTTTTTCGATTTTCTTTTCCTTCTTTCTTTCCTTTATTCCTTCTTATTTCATTTCTTCACTTTATTCTTCTTTTTTCGTCCCTTCATGTTGGTTCTTTTTTCTTCTGTTCCTAATGCGCATTTTCTTTCTTTCCTTAACGTTCCTTTTTCTTTCTTTCTTTCTTTCTTTCTTTCTTTCTTTCTTTCTTTCTTTCTTTCTTTCTTTCTTTCTTTGCCTTGCTATATTTGCTGTTCCGTTATTCTTTATTTTTATTTCTTTATATTATTAATTCTTTATATTATTAATTCTCTATTTTTCTTCCCCTCTTTTTTTTTCTTTCTTTCCTTCTTTCTTTCTTTCTTTCTTTCTTTCTTTCTTTCTTTCTTTCTTTCTTTCTGTTTTCTTTATTTTTCTTCCCTCTTTCGCCTATTCATTCTTTATTCTTTCCATCTTTAATTTATTTTTCTTTCATTCTTTTATTTCTTTCATTTCTTTTTTTTCTTTTTTTCTTTTTTCATTCGATTGTTTTTCTTTCTTGCTTTCTCTATAATTTAGTTGCTTTTGTTCCGTGTGCGTTATTATTGTCTTTCTTTCCTTTCTGCCTTTTCCCTCTCTTCTTTCTTTCTTTCTTTCTTTCTTTCTTTCTTTCTTACCTAGTTTTTTTCTTTCTTTCATTTTTTCTTTCATCTCTCTTTCGTTTTTCCCATATTTCGTTCCGTGTTCTTTCTTTCTTTTTTTCCTTCTTCCTTTCTTTCTTGCTTTCTTAAGAAAAAAAAGTACGTCTTCTTCTTTCTTTTAACAAAAACTCCTTTTAATTTATTTAATTCAAGCTACGGCTTCCTTGCATGACTGAGCGATGATTTTACACCTGGATTAAATACAGTGTCCTCTAAATTTCATTAAAATTGTTAACAACACATATTCGCATGACCATCATCATCATCATCATCATCATCGTCATCATCGTCATCATCGTCATCATCATCGTCCATATCTTAACCAATAAGACTCCTCGTGGCACTAATTGTAGCAAAATCAAATCAAGGCAAAATAAGAAATGCGACACAACACACGACACATTCATCTGCGTTGTGTATGTAGTTGCGTAGATATAGTCCTTTTAAATTTCTCGTCTTGTTCACGGAGCGCCTAAGGCTCGGAACTGGATCTTATATTAATGGAATGACGCCTCTTCCGATAACTCTCGCTTTCTCCTGAATGCGTAGGAAGGTAAGGATTCGTACGCGTCTTTATCCTGGAGTAGCGACGGCACCAAGATGCACTTGAGAAGTGTAAGGATTCGCATAGAATAAACCGAGAAAACGCAGTGTACTATCAGAAACGGCGAATAGGGCATAATGGCAACAGCGGTCTAAGATGGCGGTATTATCTTTCAACAGGACATTACGTCCGGTCAGATTGGAGGAATTGTACTCGAAGACCTTTGTCCTACACCACAAACTCTACAAATATCAATTCCTTATGCTTAGTATACGAGCAACAGTTTTCTTTTCAGAACACCCGCCATGCAAGATACAACACGTGAAATACCCTGAACATAGACCGCAGTGTAATTATTCGGTGTCTTGGCAAACATGCATGGACGGTCATGTTAAATGGTTCTCGGGCATGTATAAATAAATTAGGATAGGGTCATGGTATACAGGGTGCGACCAAAGTAACACCCTTTCTTTAATTATTAAATTTTATTGAAGAAAGACAGATTCCAGCCGTTTTCGATGGCTCAATATCAATATCAATATATGGGTGACTCTTTCTGGAAGGCTTATATCTTAATTTGGAGCTCAGTTGAATAGGACGACGTGGGACAGTAAAGTGGCCATCATGATTACTAGACCTAATACCACGACTTTTTCTTGTTGGGTGTAGTAAAAGATCTTCTTTACAGGCTCAAGCAGGAAAAAATTCCTGATTTAAAACAAGCAAATCGCTGATAAATTTTCTGGAATTGTTAGATCACTGCGTCAGATGCCGGTGGTGTTCAACGCTGCTTTGTACAAGAAGCGAAACATTTTGAAACATGGTAAATCGTTTGTTAATCATAACAAATGATGTTGTTTTCATCCAACAGTACCCATAAATTTTCTTACATTGCTGTAATTTATTTTTTGTTCAATAATGATTAATAAAAAGGAGCGTTATATTTGCCACACCCTATATACATATGCAAACACACATGTATATATATAATATACATATATATATATATATATATATATATATATATATATATATACACACACACACACACACACACACACACATATATATATACACATACATATATATATATATATATATATATATATATATATATATATATATATTAAGGTAATGAATAGCTTGGTAATCCGTATGGCTAATTCCAAAAAGGATATAATCCCGAGAGCTCATTGAAACTAGAGATGTGATCTGATGAAGCAGGAAAAATATATTTCTTGGGGAAATAAATTATAGTCATGTAAAATTATTTATATATTGGCAGCAGGTTTAATTAAGATATGTCTCATTGAATATTTTAGAGAAGATTTGTCTACTTATTTTCAATAGGATCCTGTTATATTCACGGACAAGTAAGCATTTATATAATGTTTTCATTTTCCAAACAAGGTCAAGATATTGTCTCCATGTTCGTACTTGATATTATTTTGTGTTGTTTTTTTTTTTATTACATAATTATAAAACATTATATCATCACATGCATGCAACAAACTATTTCTTATAAACAGTTAATATATTTCAACACTGATATATATATATATATATATATATATATATATATATATATATATATATATATATATATATAGAGAGAGAGAGAGAGAGAGAGAGAGAGATAGGAATGGATAGGATAAAAATCCACATACACGTACATATACTAGCACACATTTATAAATATATTTCTTCCTCGGCTGTTATAAATACTGTGCTCAAAGAAACAGAGAAATAAGTATATATTAGGAAATATGCATTGCACCTCAAGATTAACAAACTTCATGAAACTCCCAGTTGGGCTATCGACGTTGGATATTATGTATATTCACTTTTTTTCAAACTACAAAAATGCAACTTCGTTTCTGTGCATTTCAGTTGCACCTCGTGAGAACTAAACATGCTTATGAACAATTCTTCTTGTAAGCCAGCCGTATGTGAAACGTCACTTCCTTTTTTTGAATTTGTTTGAGAAAAAAATATGCATAAAGCATGACTTTGGTGATATATATATATATATATATATATATAATGTATTTTTTGTAGTTGATTTTTGGTTGAATACTAAAAAAGTTTGGTATATATATATATATATATACATACAACTCGATATCTATATTGATGATACAGGTATTTTGCTTGTCTTAATATTAAATCTGAGAAGTTCGATGAGATCAAATCTGCAACTGATCTAAAAAAAATCTACAGTCTGTTGTTAACTAAGGCAAGGAATGGCTTGTTAATTTTAATAATGCTGATCAGTTTTACTAGTCGGAAGTAATACATTTGCCTCATTAGCATGGCTGATGCTAATCTCCAGGAGAGTGAAGCATAGCGCTTTCTTGTGCAAGTGTTTTCCACTGGCATGAAGTGGAAACATTAGATTGCATTAATCTGCTTCTTGGAAGGTTGGTTCCTTGTGTCGTGATGGACAATTTTTCTTGTAGGTTACATATTTCAATTCCCTGCTAAATATTTCTCCTCTCGAATGTCACGTTTTTAGATCATCTTCCCGGCTTCAAAAACCTAAACGCAATGTCAAAATGTTACATTCTACCTTCTTTTTACCGTGTTATAGTTTTTACAGTACCCTCGCCTTAATAATATTTTTTATTATATTCTCTCACACTCAGTAACTCCTCGTGCCTTATTGATATTATTGCTTTGTCTGAAGAGGAATGATTTAAAAAAATATGTTAATGTATCCAATAGCTTTATATTTCTCTGACCGAATAGAATGGTGTATCTGTGAAACTTCAAGTCGGAAGATAAGTCTTTGATCTTTGATTCTTTTATTTATCTCTCTCTCTCTCTCTCTCTCTGTGTGAGTATATAAGTAAAGAGAGGAGGCACGATTCAGTAATGGATAGCGGCTTGGATTGAGGAATCGGAGAGCCGAGTTCGAATTCCAGTCGAATCCATTACATTCACTTACGGGCTAATACCTTTGGGAAAGATGTGAATCCTCTTCTTCTCCATCCAGCTATGGATAAATAGCAGGACAGACTGGGTTCTATAGCTGTGGATGGCAACTCATCTCGAGGGACAACACTGAATGCAAAACCTGCGAAGGGTCGTTTGGGGGCCTTGTGGCAAATAGTGCACCATGTCTCTCTATTCGACCCTTAAAGGCGTGTAGATGGTCCCGCAGAAAACCACCACTATAATCAAATCTCATGTGCTGTTTTCGGGGTGTCTGTTTCCTAGGAACTGACCTTCGTGGCTCTCATACATCGAATTTGAAGGGGGAGAGTATATATATATATATATATATATATATATATATATATATATATATATATATATATATATATGTTTGGCTCATTAAGTTATCAACGAAAGTCATCAGAACAGGTATATTGTGTTAGAATACATATGGAAAAAATATCATAAATTCTTATATTTCAAGAATAATTTTTGTATAACCGTTTCCTCTTTCATAATTTCATCAGACTAGAGAGGTGTTTGTGTTGATGCGACTACATGCGCATGAAGGAGAGGGGGCCACTGAGAATTTTAAATTTCAATTGATTTTTAATGTTTTTTGGTTAGCCGATTTCATTCATATATTTTTTTTGTTTATGCTTATTTTTTATCACTTTGAAAGGAGGAATTTTGTAAGAAGCTGTATATAAATTTGCTGTAGTTGTTCTCGCAAATTAACGAAATTTCTACACATTTTCATCAGATCAAATTGGTTTTTTACTTTTAATTAAATAGATTTTTTTAATCAAAATTAAGCACCCGACTTTATAGTGGAAAACGCCTGTCTTTAAACTCATAAAGTACACCAGTCAAAAGGCGATAAAAAAGAGTGACTACCGATTAGCACTTTAGAATAGACATCTATCCAAGAAGTACAAATAAGTTCGAACAACTTCTTGAAATCAAAATCTGAGTAAGCGACTAAACAGATTTTTTTTTCTTATTTAAGCGTGGGGATATTTTCTTGATTTTTCCGTGAACATTCATGTACTCAATTCTATGTCACTGCACAAGCCAATGAGTTCAATGAGTAAATTAGGCGTGACATTGCAGAGGAATTAAGGCGTCCCTTTGGGGTTTGTCATACGACAAACGATGATATGCCTGTGGCGATGAAACTGGTCGACTGACTAAAAATCATGATGTTCAGCTATTGACTTCTTGAATCAACAGAATGTTTACAAAAATATCCATTAAAGGAGTTGTCGCTGAGTAAGGTAATGAGTTTTGATTCAATAGTTTGAAAGAATCCATTCCAACGATGTGTTGGTTGTGTCTGAACTGCCATATTTCAGATATTGAACTCTAATCCCAATTCAAGCGCCAAATTGTCTAAGAAGCTTTTTTAAGGAAAGAAGTTATTTTTCTAAACTATTTTGCATAGGGTTTGTGCAAATCAAAATTACTTTCTTTTAGGTGTAGTCAATCGGATCAAAATTATATCTTTTTAGGAATCCTGTAGTCAATCTGTGATCAACATATCGAAGTTTCATCTTAAGAATGTTTTATGTTGATTAATCTGTGAATAGGGCTCGGTTAAATTTCTAGA